ACGAAGTCGAGCGTGAGGGCGCGCCGAGAGGTGGTCATCGAACGTCTGGACCATGGCGCGCTCTTCCTTCCAAAACGGAGCAGACCACAACCCCTGTACCACCCGTGTCGCCAAACCCTCCTCCAGCGCATGCTCGCGCAAGCTCTCCAGCCATCTCGGCCACTCTGTCATGGTGACCGCCGCTGCGCGCCACATCGTAGCGAAGGACAAGGCGAGCATCGACGTGAAGGACGTCAAGGACACCCAGCGCCGCATGCTGAGCAGGTCGTTTCTGGTGAACGCTTTGGGAGGGCAGCGCAGGACGCGATGTAAACCATCAAGTTCGCTGAAATATAGCTTGGGGTCTATAGCGAAGAACTGCAGGAGGAGGAGGAGGAGGAGGAGGAGGAGGCGGAGGAGGAAGAGGAGGAGGAGGCCGAGGAGGAGACGGAGGAGGAGGAGCAGCGGCAGCAGCAGGAGAAAGTCATGGGGAAGCGGGTCCCGCGGGAAACGGGTCCTAAGGTAAGTTGCCGTTCTCGGGGTCTCTCCGGGCCCTCCACGGGCCCTGGGACTGTTGGAGAAAACGTCTCGGGATGAAGATTTGGCCCGGGGGGAGGCCCTGGGCTCCAGGACCCGTTTCCCTCGGGACCCGTCTCCCCCATGCTAGAAGGGAGGAAGAGGCCAACTCGGGCGCCGACAGCAGGCGGCGTCCTTCGCCTTCGCCTGCGCCGCCGCCGCCTGCGCCGCCGCCTGCGCAGCCTCCTGCGGATTGCAAGCAGCCGCACATGACCCCTGGCCCTGCAGGTTGGGCGTCGCCGTATGGGGAGATAATAAATGGGGGGGAGAGGTACTCCGCTCGGGCCCTTAAAGGGCCTGCAGCCATCGCTGCCCCCCCCCCCCCCCCGCAGTGATCGCCCGCGCGACGCCCATGCTTGCCAGAATTCTGGAACGCCGGCTGCGACTCAGGATCCGAAGGGCTGCACCCAAGTGAACGCCAGCGAAGAGGAGGTCCGATGCCCCCAGGGACGATTGGACCCGCAGGAGCAGGGCCTCCACGCGTCGAAGAGGGGGGAGGCAGACGACAACCGCGCCCCCCTGTGCATACCCATATAACTACCTACCATACCACCCCAACCCAACCCGAAGACCCGAATTTGACCCGAATTTCGGGTTGGGGGGGGTACGGGCTTCATGTGTTTTTCAACGTTCCCCGACCCCCCCACACTGGAAATGAAGGGCAAATTGAGGCCTTCGGGTTGGGTTGGGGTGGTTTGGTAGGTGGTGACCATAAGCTCGCCATCGCTCGGACGTCCATTCCCCATGCATGTTTCGAGATCGTGCGTTTATGCTTCACGATGGTCCAAGATGCTCCTCTGTGGTCCCCGCGGGGAAACATCCACACGTCCGAGCGATGCCACGCTGGAGGGAAACGCAAAAGGGGGCAGGAGCCGACTGGGCAGAAACACAGACAAGTCCCGAATTGCACGGGTCTTGGACCCCGTGGCCTCCCCCCAGGACCAGCATTCCATCCCGAACCGCTCCGTGATGGCCCCAGGGCCCGTGAAGGGCCCAGAGGGGGCCGCAGACGGCGAAAACCGTCAGGACCCCGAGGAGGAGGAGGAGGAGGAGGAGGAGGAGAAGGAGGAGGAGGGGGAGGAAGATGGAGGAGGAGGAGGAGCAAGGAGGAGGAGGAGGAGGAAAAGCTTCAGGTCCCTGGTCCCTAGTGGAGGCCCACGGGGCACAGGGGGCATCGGTTGCGGCCCGCGCGGCCTTCCCTGCCGATGGAGGGCGGCCGCCGGACAGGCGGAGCGCCCACCACCATGCGCCCGAATGGCGTGCACGCGCACTGCCTACCTGACCACCCCAACCCAACCCGAAGGCCCGAATTTCGATGGGGGGGTATGGGCTCCATACGTGCTTTTTCAATGTTTTTCACGCATGGGCAGAAGGTGCGCCGCTCCGTGGTCGGCGAACCCGTAGGCCTTCAGCCTCTGGAGCTGGAGGCTCTGGCCTTCTGGTGTCTCTGGAGTGCCTGGAAATGCTCAATGACCTGAAACGGCTTCCCGTCCACAGGGTGAAGACCATTGAGCAACCTCTTTAGGGCCCCCGACCCCCCCACACTGGAAATGGAGGGCAGATTGAAGCCTTCGGATTGGGTTGGGGTGACTTGGTGAGTGGTGGCACGCGCACAGGCTTCGGGGGGGCGCCCCGTGCGAAGCCCATCGGGGCTTCCGGCTCGGAGCAGCGTCTCGTCTTGTTCGGGACGCGCCAGGGTTTGCCGACAGTCTGACTTGTTCAAACGTCCGCGAAGATCTGCACTGAGAGGGCCACTAGGAGCCTCGGAAGGTTTGCAGTTCAGGCTCTCAGAATCACCCTCTGCCGAATCTTCAAGTGTGACCCCTGATGATTTCGTGTGCCTCGCGAATCCATGAATAAACGGACCGCGGACGACCGAAAGCGCGGCAAACAGTGTTCCAGAACCGCTGCGTCCACCCCAGCAGCTGGGACACACGAAGCGGGCACGGCACCGTGATGGACTCGGCCTGAATTGGGAACATCTACCGGTATACTGCACACAGAAGTCGTAGCCCAAAGCGATGGAGAATGTCCCTAATGCCTGGAAGAATCGCTTGCCGCCTCCCTGTGTTGACGACAACGGCCAGTGTCCTCTGTTGGAGCCGACGGGGGAGTGACAGCGGGAAAATGTACCGCCAGTGCCGTAGAAAGCACGCGCGAGGCGCAGCTGGTGAGCATAGGGCGCCCAGGAGAGCAGGCAAGTAACCTGTGAGAGGAGAGGTAATGTCCTAAAGACGCTGACTGTCCCGAGACATGTGGGACGTGACCTCGACGCTTCCCCCTGGGTGCAGGAGACCAGCGATCGATAATACCTCAGGCCTGCACGGCCATGGAAAGCAGAGGTGAGGGATAGGAGAGAAGTGCACCACCAAGACAGAGCGGAAACTCCAACTGCAAATTGGAGCCATCCACCCCAAGACACCCACGAATTGGCATCCAGGCCCTCAAGACGCCCCAAGAAGCCTCCAAGAGGCCCCCAGGAGGCGCCCAGGAGCCTCCAGCATGCTCCAACACAGGCGTGCCAGAGGCCGCCAAGAGGCCCTCCGAAAGACACCAGGAGGCCTCCGAGAGGCCCCTGGTCCACGACCCAGACGGACGTGGGATGGGCCGAAATTCACTGGACACAAGAGGCATCACGTAGTAGTGTTCCGAAAAAGACAAGACCATATCACACAAACGAGGACGTCAGCCTGAGGAGGAGCGCAGCGCCAGTGCATCATAGATGAGCACCAACCAGTCGAAGGTCAGATCACGACTTCGCCATGCACTTTCGGAGGCCCGCGCTGACTTCTTGGATCGGCGCTGGGCCCCCCCTCCCTGGCGCGCTCCGCGCGCCAGGGGCGACGCTGAAGGCGCCGCCCTGCGGGCTGCTGCGCCGATCCAAGAGACCCGCGCGGACCGTCAACAAGTGATGTCTGTGCCACTGCTTGCCCTCCGAGCAGGAGGCCCCCGCTCCTCGGCCTCGATCTTGCGCTGAGCCTCTTCCCGCTCCGCCTGCTTCTTGGCCGCCGCCGCCGCCTTCTGTGCCTTCTTGGCCTGCTGGCGCGCGGCGCGCTCGGACTCCTCCGCGGCCTGCGTCTCCTGGGGGCAGCACGGCCCGCCGAGCCACCACCTCCTACTCCTCCTCCATCGCTTGCCCTTATAACCGCCTCCTCCCAGGTATGTCCCCAGACGTGTCGGCGGGACGGGCCGTGCGGCTCGCCCAAGACGTCCTCGCCGCTCAGGGGCCCAGAAGCTTGAAATCTGCTTGAGCTTCCCAGATGGAGGGCGGATCCACTTCAAAATGTCGCTCTCGCCTTAGCGCCGCGAGCACTCGTCCCAAACAAATGCGAGGGTTTCACGGGTGGAGGGCGGGCGACTGGAGAAGTGTGACCTGGCCTCAACGCCGACACGCAAGTGCTTCAAACATTTACAAGCGTTATACTGATCGAGGGCGGGAACCTAGTTTTTAAAGCGTCGATATCGCCTTGGCGCCGTGGGCATTCATCTCGAAATCTTGCAACAATGCCACGCGTGGAGGCCGGGCGATTGTAGGAATATGTTTCTGGCCTCAGCGCCACACCCGTGTGCATCGAACAGCTACAACCGTTTCACTGATGGAGGTCGGGTGGTTTTCAAAATGGGGCTCTCGCCGCAACGCCGCGCACATTCGTCTGAAACAAGTGCAACAACATCAAGGATCCGTGCGGCCGTGCGCGTGCGGAGCTTCTGTTAGCAGTGATCGCGCGCGTGTGTGTGTGTGTGAGAGTGTGTGTGTGTGACTGTGTCTGTGTGTGTGTGTTTGTGTGTGTGCGAGTCGCCCCTCGAAAGCATCGCGTAACGCAACGTCGTTCTCATATTGCTGTCAAATCCAACACGCCAGTCGCACCCAGAATCTGTCCGTACCCTCTTTTGGAGTGCTCAAGGAAATCTCGCAAGTCAATATCTCTGAATATTTTCCGCCCGTATCGCCACCCTCCCCCTCCCAAAAGACGCCTTAAAAGGGGGCATGAATAACGGTACGGAGGGTCCATGGGAGGTAGGGGCAGGGGTAGGTCTGGGCGATTAAGCTCCTGTGCCACGCGCTTGGCCTCCTCCGCAGCCGCCCGCTCAGCGTCCTTCTTGGCCTTCTTTGCCAACTCCTGCAGGCCCCATACCATCATGCAAGGGCTGAGGGGATTCAACATCAAACCGCACCAGCGGCTTGGAATAGAGCATACGTGAGCACCTTGGGCATTGAGAACGGACGGCCTTCTGCGGTCGTGGAATACGAAAACCAGCATCAACACAATTCTGTGGCAACTCATGGGAGCCTGTCCTAGCTGTTGAAAGTCGTCGCCACTCGACGCAACATCGATGCGAACCGACTCTAAAAATGCAGATCGACGCTAAACCGGCGCTGTATCACGGTGGGGGCATTGGATAAAGAAGCCTTCGATAAGGAATCCGGGGTCTGGAAGCCAGTGGGAAGCCAATCGTGGATCGGCCATGGATATCACCGCAACCCCCATCGGATAAGGATTCCTCCAGGGTCTGGGGCCTCCTGGGACTATTCCTGAACAAACGCCTCCACCGTATGAATTACCACGCGATTAGCAGCTCCAAGGCACTCAAAAGACGGAACTGCGAGGGTCCACGAGACCCCCATGATCGGCTGCCGAACACACAATCGTCGGAGGCCCGCGTAAAGTCATTGCGTGGGGGCGCGGGCACCCCGTCCCCTTGCGACCCCAGGAAGCCAAAGCCCGACTTCGGCACAATCTTCGGAGGAAGAGGAGGAGGAGGAGGAGGAGGAGGAGGAGGAAGAGGAGGAGGAGGAGGAGGAAGAGGAGGAGGCAAGGAGAAAAAGGAGGAGGAGGAGCAGGGTCGGCCCCACACCTGTGGTGGCGTCTCCGGCGACGCCCGGCGCGCGCTCCGCGCGGGGGAGGCGGGGTGTGGGCAGGATGGCCCGGCGCCGACCCAGGCGACAACCCCGGGGGGGAGTGACTTTGGACGCCCGGAGTGGGCATGGAAAGGATAGGGCGACGAGATCTATGCATATCCACTGCTCCTGGCCAGGCCAATCCTGGGCCCAGGAGCGGTGTATACGCCCTCCTGGCCTGGCCAGGGAGGCATATACACCGCTCCTGGGCCCAGGATGGGCCTGGCCAGGAGCAGTGGATATGCATAGATCTCGTCGCCCCAGACTTTGGACGCCCGGAGTGGGCATGGAAAGGGTGGGTCCACGCGGATGCCTTGGATCTGCGCTGGAGCCCCCTCCCTGGCGCGTGGGACGCGCCAAGGTTGGCGCTGCAGGCGCCGCTGGGGCGCTCCAGCGCAGACCCAAGAAACCCGCGCGGAGCGCCAGAAGCTCATGTTCATGCCGTGAGTTCTTCCTCGCTTTCCTTTTGGACGCCCGGAATAGGCACGGAAAGGATGGGCACAATGCCCAACAGCAAATGTTGTCCCAGACCAACAGCGGCCGCTGCTGGGCAGGCGGCCTCCTGTCGCAAATGGGCACAGGCCGCGGCGGCGCGGACAGCGACTCCGGTTCAAAATGAACAGGACCTGCTGTTGGGCATTGTGCCCGGTCTTTCCGTACCAATTTCGATCGTGCAGACATGTGAAAGGGGGCAGGCCTCCTCAGAGGCCTCTGAACAGAAATAAGCTGCGTCTCTCGGGGAGGCTCAACCAGAACCAGCTTCTCGAAGGCCCGAGGCCTCCCGACCCTGCTGATTCGCTTCCGCCCTGGGCTCGCCGCCGAAAGAAATCAGCGCGGACCTTCGAACAATCAGAATGACGTGGCCGAAAGGTCATCAACTACCCCTGGGTGCGCGGCAGACGTGGCGCTGCGTCCAGCAGATTATGCTTGTGGCGTTCTTGTTAAACTCTCACTACTGAAAGACAGTTATTGTTAATGCCATCCTCCGGGGCACACTGTGATTTGTCGATTGAAGTGCCCTTCCCGGAGCTCGCACATTGTTTTCATCAGGGGGCGGCTTCGATCGTAGAATTGTGTGTTCTTCCGTTGTTTACAACAATAGCGGCGCTGGCCTGATACTTCCTCGCAAGTCATTCCCTAATTGCGTTCTCGCGCAGGATTTCCTCACAAGGTATGCAGAAATCGCGCTCTCGCGTGGGAGTTCCTGGCAATTTATCCGAACGTCCTCGACACTCGGGAATCACGCTCTCGCTTTTGGCATATCCCACGATGTTTTTGGACATCGAGATATCGCCGAAGACTCTTCGCGAATCACGTAGGCTCGCAAATACACTGCGGATCCGCGCTCCTGAGCGTCTCGGACAGACGAGGCAGGCCATCCAGGCCGCCAACATGGACCAAGATGCCTTCAAGATGGCCCAGGATGACTCCAAGTCGGCCTCAGGCGGCCCCAAGACGGCCCAGAAGGCCCCCCCAAGACGGCCCAAGAAGGCCGCAACAGAAACCCCAGGAGGGCGCGTCAGATGCTGGGACCTCAGCCTTTGCGGAACTCCTTCAACTCAAGACGGTCCTCGAGGAATCCATGATGGCCCCAAGAAGGCCCAAGAGGGCCCTAAGGTTGCCGTAGGCAGCAACAAGATAACCCATGGAGGGCCCGAAGAGGTTAGAAAAATACATTGTCGACCGGTGTTGGCGACTCCATCGTCCTTGGACCCCTTCAACTTCAGACGGTCCTAGAAGCCTCCAAGATGGCGCTGAGAGACGGCTTCAAGATAGTCCAGGAAGGACCCTAAACGACCGAGGACGGCCCAAATAGAGCGCCAAGCTGCCAAAGTAAGCCTCGGGAGGACCCAACAGGCCTCAGAGGGCCCACGAAGGACCCAGTACTGCCCAAGACGGCTCAAAGACGAACCGACGAGGGCCTCAGGAAACCTGCAGGACGGCCCAAGAGTTAGGTCGGGCATGTCCTCCCACAGGCGGATGTTGAAAGATTACTTAAACTTAATAGAAGCACTAAAACTGGTCAAACGAGCACAACAACTCTCATCCCCAGACAATGTTTTAACTATGTTTGCGCATTCCACCGGTACAGGACATGCCCTACCTCACCCAAGAAAACCAGGCGCATCAACAATGCTGCAGTGAACCCTCCAGGCATTCCCTCCTACAGGCGAATGTTGGAAGACAAATTAAAAACAAAGCTACAGAGAACAACACATAGTCAACAGAGCACGAAAACTCGTCCAAAGACAATTGTTTGACCATTTCGATATATTCCTCCTGAAGAGGAACATGCCCGACTTAACCCAAGAGAGCCCCAAGACGGCCCAAAAAGGTCGCTGAGGCCCAAGGCAGCCCCGAGACCGCAAGTGACCTGTAATGCCGCTCGCCTCACCCGTTGCAACCTCCTGTCGCCCCTAGAGCGGTCGTCTCTGAGAGCACCGGGCTGGCACGGAATTGGGAATTGCCACAGCAGAGGCCTCCTAGATGGGGTCCGAGTGGATGGGTTCGGAGGACCGCGCCGCATCTGCATCGGCGATGCATCGGCCATGCATCGCCGACGGCGGCGACGCATCGGCGTCGTCGGCGTGGAGAAAATCGGTCTCCGCATCGAGCGCATCGCCGATGCATCAGGGATGCGGCGCGATCCTCCGACCCCATCTGCTCCAACCACATCTAGGAGGCCTCGACGCAGGCAGCTTGATTTTGCACGTAATGTCAGAATAATGTTACGAGTGGCGACGCATCCTCCCCATGGAAGACAAGACACACGATGAGCAGAGGCACCCACTCCTTGGCCCAATGCTCGTCCTCTTCGCGCTTAGCCTGCACCTTGCGCTCGTCCGCCTTGCGCTCGGCCTCCGCCCTCTGTGCGTCTTTCTCCTGCGCTGTTTTCCCGGCCCCCTTCTCGTGCTAAGGCTTGGGGAGCAGGACATGGGGAACGAAGGACGAGCTTGGGGGGCGACTTCGTGCTACCACAAAAAGCACGAGGAAGGCGAGAGGAACAACCATGGAATGACCTGCAGAACAGGGAGCCCCTTCCGAACCCAAACTGTTCTCGATTTCGGCGTCTTGGCTGTCCTCGTGCGAGGGTTTGAGGAGGGCGCGGGGCTGAACATCGTACTGCGATCGGGTTGGCGCTCGTGTCCCCCAACTGTCGGACCGAATCCCGCTTCCTTCACTGCGTAGCCGAATGTATCTAATCGGATTGCCAAGGCCCAGGCTTGCCCATCCAAGTGCACCTGTACCTCAAGAGTGTATGCAAACCGCGTTTGGAGAATCGTAGCATCCCCCCTATGCCCCCCTCCGTTTGACGAGATTGTAAGATATGACAGGAAACAGAGCCATGACTCGAGCCCAAGATCCTTGGCCACGCCCTCGGCCTCCGCCCTGCGCATGTCCTCCACCTTGCGCCTGGCCTCGGCCTCCGCCCTCTGTTCGGCTTTCTCCTGCGCTGTTTTCTGGGCCCCCCTACTCGTGCTAAGGCTTGGGGGGGGCGTGGGACACGAAGGACGCGCTTGGCGGACCACTTCGTGCTACCATAAATAACGCGGAGTGGGGAACGAAGCCCCCAGTTGGCTCCCAAAGCGACAGGGCGCACGAGGAGCGCGATGAACAACCATGGACTGACCTGCGGAACAGGGAGCCCCTTCCGAACCCAAACTGTTCTCGATTTCGGCGCGTTGGCTGTCCTCGTGCGAGGGTTTGAGGAGGGCGCGGGGCTGAACATCGTACTGCGATCGGGTTGGCGCTCGTGTCCCCCAACTGTCGGACCGAATCCCGCTTCCTTCACTGCGTAGCCGAATGTATCTAATCGGATTGCCAAGGCCCAGGCTTGCCCATCCAAGTGCACCTGTACCTCAAGAGTGTATGCAAACCGCGTTTGGAGAATCGTAGCAACCCCCCTATGTCCCCCCTCTGTTTGACGATATTGTAAGATATGACAAAAACAGAGCCATGACTCGAGCCCAAGATCCTTGGCCACGCCCTCGGCCTCCGCCCTGCGCATGTCCTCCACCTTGCGCCTGGCCTCGGCCTCCGCCCTCTGTTCGGCTTTCTCCTGCGCTGTTTTCCGGGCCCCCCTACTCATGCTAAGGCTTGGGGGGGGCGTGGGACACGAAGGACGCGCTTGGCGGACCACTTCGTGCTACCACAAATAAGGCGGAGTGGGGAACGAAGCCCCCAGGTGGCTCCCAAAGCGACAAATGCACGAGGAGCGAGATGAACAACCATGGACTGACCTGCGGAACAGCGAGCCCCTTCCGAACCGAAACTGTTCTTGATCTCGGCGCCTTGGCTGTACTCCAGCGAGGGTTTGGGGAGGGCGTGGTGAAGAACATCGCCCTGCGATCGGGTTGGCGCCCGCGCCCCCAAGTGTGTAGGACCGAACCCCGGTACCCCTAGTGTGTAGCCGAATTCATCTGTGGACTCCCGAGGCCCAGGCTGGCCAACCCAAATACACCCATACCTCAAATATACATCCAAGACGCGCTTGGTGAATCGTGGCTTTTCGAATACCGAGCACGAGATGATCGAAAACACAAGAGCGTGAACCGATACAACAACGTCATGACTCGAGCCCAGAATCCTTGGCCACGCGCTCAGCCTCGGCCTTGCGCTTAGCCTTGGCCTCCGCCTTGCGCTCTGCCTCGACCTTCCGCTCGGCCTCGGCTGCGCGCTCGGCCTCCTCCACGGCCTCGGCCACTGCTTTGGCCTCCGCCTTGCGTTCGGCCTCTGCTGCACGCTCGGCCTCCGCCTTGCGCTTGGCCTTGGCCTCCGCCTTGCGCACGGCCACAGCCTTACGCTCGGCCTCAATCTTGCGCTCGGCCTCCGCCTGGCGCTCGGCCTCCTCCTTGCGCTCGGCCTCCGCCTTGCGCTCGGCCTCCGCCTTGCGCTCGGCCTCGGCCTGGCGCTCGGCCTCCGCCTTGCGCTCCGCCTCTGCCACGCGCTCGGCCTCGGCCTTGCGCTCGGCCTCTGCGGCGCGCTCGGCCTCCGCCTTGCGCTCGGCCTCCGCCTTGCGCTTGGCCTTGGCCTCCGCCTTGCGCTCGGCCTCCGCCTTGCGCTCGGCCTCCGCCTTGCGCTCGGCCTCCGCCTTGCGCTCGGCCTCCGCCTTGCGCTCGGCCTCTGCCTTCCGCTCGGCCTCTGCTGCGCGCTCGGCCTCCGCCTTGCGCTCGGCCTCGGCCTTGCGCTCGGCCTCCGCCTTGCGCTCGGCCTTCTCCGCGGCCTCGGCCGCTGCCTTGGCCTGCGCCTGGCGCTCGGCCTCTGCTGCGCGCTCGGCCTCAGCCTTGCGCGCGGCCTCCGCTTTGCGCTTGGCCTTGGCCTGCGCCTTGCGCTCGGCCTCCGCCTTACGCTCGGCCTCTACCTTGCGCTCGGCCTCGGCCTTGCGCTCGGCCTCCGCTTTGCGCTCCGCCTCTGCCACGCGCTCGGCCTCCGCCTTGCGCTCAGCCTCCTCCGCGGCCTCGGCCACTGCCTTGGCCTGCGCCTGGCGCTCGGCCTCTGCGGCGCGCTCGGCCTCCGCCTTGCGCTCGGCCTCCGCCTTGCGCTCGGCCTCCACCGCGGCCTCGGCCACTGCCTTGGCCTGCGCCTGGCGCTCGGCCTCCGCCTTGCGCTCGGCCTCCGCCTTGCGCTCGGCCTCCTCCGCGGCCTCCGCCACTGCCTTGGCCTCCGCCTGACGCTCGGCCTCTGCTGCGCGCTCGGCCTCCGCCTTGCGCTCGGCCTCCGCCTTGCGCTTGGCCTTGGCCTCCGCCTTGCGATCGGCCTCCGCCTTGCGCTCGGCCTCGACCTTGCGCTCGGCCTCCGCCTTGCGCTCGGCCTCGGCCTTCTGCTCGGCCTCGGCCTTGCGCTCGGCCTCCTCCGCCTGCCGCTTGGCGTCTTCCTGGGCCGGTTGCTCCCCCCCCCACACGTGTGCGAGGGAAAGGGAGGCTGCACTACCCCACGCCAACGGGGTCCAATTGAGCACGTTTGGCCACCGACGAGCATGTAACCATTCTGCGGTCGGCTTCGAGCTCGCTTCGCAACACTCTTGCACCTACCTTCATCGATCACGAAGAATGCCCAAGTCACCCGTGGAACCCCCATTTGCCCGAGCTGTCTGGCCGCAAGATACCCCGACTCCATTCTCGATCTCCAGAAGAAAGCCTCCCTGCGAATCGTCCCGCGAGTTGTCACGACCGCCTTGGCGAGCGAGAAAAAACATCGTGCTGGCGCGCGTGGGCTCCAAATTATCGCTCCCGCACCCGTGCCCGTGCCCGTGCGATAAACTCGGATAGGCTACGAAATGCACTATTACGTCAGATCAGCTCTAAGCCAGAATCAGTTTCTGGGGGAACGAACAAAGACATAAGCATAATCACTCGGAGGTCCGCGCTGATTTCTCGGATCGGTGCTGGGGCGCACTGGCGGCGCCCCTCGCGCCGCCCCTGGAGCGCTCCGCTCGCCAGGGAGGGAGGGGTGCCCAGCGCGGATCCGAGAAATCCGCGCGGACCTCCGAGCTGTTATGTCCATGCCACTTCTCGTTCCCCCAGTTACGCCACGCCAGGCCACGCTGCGCGACGCTGAGACGAGACGAAGGGGAGCCGGGCCAAGCTACGCACGCCACGCGAAGTCGAACCTGGGCTAGGAGCAGAGCCGAGCCGAGCTCAGGGGGGCCGACGGGCCGGACCGTGCAGCCGTCGTGCCACCATAAGGAACGCCAAGCAGGGAACCAGGCCATCATCTTTTGTTCTTCCTCCTCCTCCTGTTCTTCCTCCTCCTCCTCCTGTTCTTCCTCCTCCTCCTACTCCTTCTCATGCTTCTCCTCCTCCTCCTTCTTCTCCTCCTCCTCCTCCTGGTCCTGTTCCTCCTCCTCCTCCTCCTGCCCCTCCTCCTCCTCCTCCTCCTCCTCCTCATCATCATCATCCTGCTCCTCCTCCTCCTCCAATTTGATACCCAGGGTGCCCGGATATTCAATGAGCGTTAGAAGAACGGCCAAACATCCTGAGGAAAGGCGACCGTCCTGTGGGACCGGTCTGCTCCCCGAATTTCAGCTTCTTGACTAAGCCCTCCTCTGCTCAGGGCAACTTCGCGCGGCGGCCGAACCCTGCACCGGCGATAACAATCCCGCAGGGACAATAAAATTCGGGGTCAGGGAAGGATGAGTGGATCGGTCATCACGAGTCTCCATGATGGAGCCTCCATGGTCCGTTACGCTTGAGGCATCCTCACGATACTCTGAATAATGCGAATACGAATGATGCGAATACCAATAAAATCAACAGTAATTATAGTACTAAGATGAGGATACCCCTGATGCTTTCCATGATCGGAAGATCAGAGCTGGAACACAGGGGTAATCAGAAATAAGCGGTTAAGGTCGAGAGACCACCAAAAGGTACCGATACTGCCTACTCCCCGGACCTCTCCCAGGGTGCGTTCTGACTGGGATTTCGAGGCGAATCCAGCGGCGGGGACGAGGGCCGCCCAGGAGGCCCAAAAACGGAAAAATGGGCAAAGGGTAGCGGAATGGGTACCATTTCCTCCTCTGAGGTTCAGGGGGGGGGATTATGTGTTATCGTCTTCATGCGGTCATGGTCGGGGCGAGAAGAATGGCTGCCGCTCGAGGCCCCGCCCACGATTTACCCAAGGGTGGTGAGCGTTTTCTTATTCGGCGTTTTCGACTTTTGGCGGACGGGGGGGGGAGGGGGGAGGGTCTGGCTCCGGACCTCTGCTTCATGTGACTGTTTGCGGCAGTTCGTCCTAGGGAGGAGGTTCCACCGGCCTGAAACAGGCGCCAAGAACAGCCAAGATCTACTGCACGGGGGGGGGGAGGGGGGACCGAGGGCCCGCATCGGTCGGCAAAACAGTGCATAGAATAACCATCACGTGCGGCTGCCTCTCGCAAGCCTCCCCCACGACTCGCTCAGTGGGGGTGTCTGCCATCGCGGCGCGAGTTGGGCAGGGGCTGCGGATGGCCACCCGCGCTCGCCCCCCCCTGCAGGAGACTGGCTGCCGCTCGAGATGCTCAGAAGATCCTTCGGTCGGGCATGTCCCCCTACAGGCGGGCTTCGGTTTTAGGAAGTGACGCAACATGCTCAAACATTGTAGAAACATAATAAAAGAAACGCCCCCAGACCATTGTGTGACTATTTCTGAATACTCCTGCACAGGGACACGCCCGACTTACATCTACCCCTGACTCGGCGGCGAGCAAGGGGGGGAAATGAGACGGAGAGGCCTTCTCAGGAGGCGGTGGGATTCCTCAGAAACCCTCGCGCCTTCTGACAAGATTTCGGGGTCTTCGGGGAAGGCCTTCTTCTTCTCCCTTCCCCCCATCGCCGCTGACTGACGGTTGTCGCCCCAAGTGTCCTCGCGATGAGCAAGAAAGAAGCAACTACTTCCAGCGATCTCTTCACGAGCTGCAGATACAGCCGAGCATAGGATATAACACCTTACCATTCAGGAAATCTGGGCCAGCTCACTGGAAGGTTCTTAAGACAAACCTGGACCAAGTTCTGCCGCCGACGTTGGAGGGGCCCGGGAGCTCGAGAAACTGGTCCATCTGCCTTGTCAACTGGCTAAGAGACAATGGCCCAACGTTTACGGAGAAAGGTTCTTGATCGCGCGCTCGACCGCAGAGGCCCCGACTCCCCCTCCCCTCATCTGGGAGAGCGAGGGCCCGGGAGCGCGGCAGCCGCTGGAATCTCTCCTGAATACCGTGTCGAACCAAGTCATCCCAGTGCGACCCTACCTAGGAGTTGGAGCCTCTAGGACAGCAACATTAGTAGGAGCGGCGAACGCCGTCCTCGTCCTTCTCCTCATCGTCGTAGTCGCGCTATGCTATGCTATGCTATGCTCTGCTATGCTCTGCTATGCTATGCTGCGCAATGCTATGCTGGGCTGGGCTAGGCTAGACTATGCTATGCTATGCTATGCTACGCTATGCGATGCTGCGCTATGCTATGCTATGCTATGCTATGATATGCTATGCTGCGTTATGCTGCGCCCTGCTATGCTATGCTATGCAAGGGTACGCTCGGCTGCGATGTGTTATGCTAGGCCATGCTATGCTATGCTATACTACGCAATGGTGCGATATGCTGCGCTATGCTATGCTATGCGATGCTAGGGTGCGCTCGACTGCGCTGTGTTATGATATGATATGCTGTGCTATGATAGATTGCGCTATGATATGTTATGCTGCGCTATGCTATGCTATGCTATGCTGTGCCGCGCTATGCTATGCTATGCTAGGCTGTGCTATGATATGGTATGCTGCACTATGCTATGCTATGCTATGCTATGCTATGCTATGTTATGCTATGCTGCGCTGTGCTGTGATATGCTATGCTGTGCTATGCTATGCTATGACTATGCTATGCTGTGCTATGCTATGCTATGCTGCGTTGTGCTATGCTAAGCACTGCTAGGCTATGCTGTAATATGCTATGATGCAATATGCTGCGCTATGCTATGCTATGCTATGCTGAGCTATGATATGCTATGCTATGATATGCCTAGTTATGCTATGCTATGCCATAATGCTATGCTGTGCTAATGCTGCGCTGCGTTATGCTGCGCTGCGCTAAGCTAAGTTAAGGTAGGCTAGGCGAAGCTAAGCTAAGCTAAGATAGCCTAGGCGACGTTAAGCTAAACTAAGCCAAGCTAAGCTAAGCTAAGATGAACTAAGCTAAGCTAAGATAAGCTAAGCCGGGCTAAGATGAGATAGGCTAAGCTAAGCTACGCTAAGCTAAGCTGGGTGAACCCAGGGGGCGCAACTGGGGGAACCGCGGGGCGGATGCCGGGGGAACCGCCCGGGGTAGGTTCCACTGCCCGGCCCTTTAAGCATACCTTATAAGAAACCTTCTAGGCAGAGGCTAGGTAGGGAACCATCGCGTAGCCTCGTCCCGATCAGGGAAGCACCGTGACCGAAACTGTGCCCGAAGATCAGCACGAGTGTGACCGAAGCTCGGGGATCTTCTGACCCGGGTCAATCCAGACCCGGGTCAATCAGGCCTGCAAAATCCTGCAAAATCCTGCACCCAAACCCGGGTCAATGCGAAGGATCCTGCAGGATCCTGCAGGATCCTGCACCCAAACCCGGGTCAATGCGACCCTGGCGCTGCAGGATCCTGCAAGATCCGGCGCTCGGGCTGACCCCCGTCTGCCCTGACCCCCGTCTCGAGGCTCCTGAGAAGCTGGCGCCCGAAGTTTTCCGGTCGCGCCCGAGAGTGACCGAAATGCCTGGCTCGAAACCAAGACGAGATCCAATGTCTGGTCACACTACGCTTTCGGTCAAACCTTTCGGCATGTCTTCGGTCGCCGAGTTCTGTCGGTCCCCGATCTTCTTGGCTGATAGGGGCGGGGTGCCTTGAAAATCAGCGTAAAGTATCCTTGGCTACCGAGGATGCAACCAACCGCTCGGATGCCGCCCCCTCCCGCTGGGAGAACAGGAGGCTGGCTGCCATAGCAGCGTCGGCTCCGGCTGCATTCTGCGAGGAAGGGCGCGAATTGCCTCTCGCATCCGTGCCCCCTTCGGAGAGAAAGGATGGCGCCATAGTGCGGCTGCCGACTTCCCCACAACCATCTGAGCCCACGTTCACAGTAGCCGTTATGGTGTATCTGCGTATGTTCGTGTGTGCGTGTGTTTGCGTGTTTGTGTGTGTGTTTGTGCGTGTGCGAGGGTGTGTTGCAAGTGTTGCGCTTAGTGGCCTCGACTGAATGGGGGGTGATACATGCGGGGGAGAACAGGTGCCCTTTTCGGGCACCGCGGCCAATCTCTGGGGCCCTAAAGGGCCCCCTCTATGGGGCCCTACAGGACCCGCTGCCCCTCCCCCCCCATGTATTGCACCTCATTAACTCGCGCCCAAGCTTTGCTGCTCAGACTAACCCCGGGTAGAGCGGGAGACGGGCTGATGCTCCAGAACTCCTCAAGTTCTGTTCAGGAACGCCGACGCCGCTCTCACGCAAAAAATCTCTGCGCCCCCCTCTGGGAGAGGGAGAAAACGGGAGACCGACTGCCGTTCCAGACCTTTTACACGTTAGTCGGGGATGGGGTGGCCGCTAGAGATGTCATCACGCATTGCTCTGAATGCGGCTGCCCAGTCGATGCTTCCGACAAGCGAGGATAATGGCGAGAGCGAGGTTGAGGGAAAATGTGAGGGATACGGCGACCATGAGGGTTACGGTGAACGTGTCGATGAGTGTGAGGGTGACGGTGAGGATGGAACGAAGGTCAGGGAAAGGCTTAGAAAGAGGGCGACCATCAAGGTGACCGTGAAGGTGAGAATGGTTGTGAAGCTATGAGGGTGAAGACGACCCCAAGAGCGCCCAAGAGCGCTCCAAGAACGCCCCAAGAGGCAATTTGGGGGACTCCCGAGGGAGTGGGCCCGAATTAATTAGTAAGGGCCCTCCCTTCGTTGATCGAAGTCCTCCAAGATGGCCTCAAGAGAGCTCCCCTACGTAAGGCTCTCAAGAACACCCCAAGAAGGCACAACGAGGCGCCCAGACGGCCACAAGAGGCACCCGAGACGCCTCCAAGAGGTTCCCAAGAGACCCCGATCCCCGAGGCACCCAAGACGCTCAAAGACTGTCCTGGGCCCGCCAAGATGCCCCCAAAACGCTCAAAGAAGCATCCAAAAAGCTTCCAAGACACTTCCGAGAAGACTCCGAGAGGCATTTAAAAAGCTCCTGGCTCTTCTGTTCGCTCTTTTCGTCCTCCTCCTCCTCCTCCTCATCCTCATCCTTATCCTCATCCTCCTCCTCCTCCCTCATCCCCTTCCTCATCCTCATCCTCCGCCTCTTCATCCGTCCATTCATGTCCCTCTTCCTCCTCCTTCCTCCATCGCCCCCCTCCCCCACCTCCTCATCCCTCTCGTCCTTCTCCACGCTCTCCTCCTCCTTCCTCCTCCTCCTCCTCCTCACCCTCCTTCTCCGCCTCACCATCCGTTTCCTCCTCCTCCTCCACCTCCTTCTCCTGCTCCTCCTCCTCTTTCTCCTCTGGATCCTCCGCCGTCCTCCCCTCTTGGAGGACCACGACTGCCCGGCCTTTTTCTACTGCATGGTCCCCCACGTACCTGAGGAGGGTAACTCGCCTGGGCATCGTTTCTGGATGGGATGGTGGGGTTACGCAAAGCGTCTAGAATTACCGATCAACCCACATTCCTTGGCAACGCGCTCGGCCTCCGCCCGAACTTCGGCCTCCGCCTTGCGGTCGAACTCGGCCTTGCGATCGGCCTCCGCCTTGAGCTCGGCTTCGATCTTGCGCTCGGCCTCCGCCTTGCGATCGGCCTCCGCCTTGCGCTCGGCATCCGCCTTGCGCTCGGCCTCCGCCTTGCGCTCGGCATCCGCCTTGCGCTCGGCCTCCGCCTCGGCCTTGCGCTCGGCCTCCGCCTTTTTCTCGGCCTCCGCCATGCGGTCCGCCTCCTCCTGCGCCGCCTTCTGGGAACATTACTCGTGCAAAGGATTGGGGGATTGATCTTCAGCGCACGCCAGCGGCGTTGAATGAGACCCCGTGGGGAGGGCCTGCGTTCTGCGATCGGCTTCGAGCTGGCTTCCCAAACATCATACACCTATTCACCTCCGACCATTCGAATTCTCAGGAATTCTCAGGGCTCAACTTCTGACAGGCACCACGGCTCCGAGACCACCAACCGTCCCCCGCCTGGTACGACTGCTGCACCAGGAAGCTGGAGCACACAGACCGCCAAGCTCACATGTGACATGTGGAACATCTGGAGGCCACGCGCTGGATACACGCGGAAGCCCGGGCCACACGTCCACAGAAGGGCCGAGCGCTGGATAGGAGCCTGGCCGCACGTGCATCAGGTTCTCGCACAGGCCCGCCGCGTCATGCGCATCCTGCTTCCTGGCAGCTTGCGGGGACGGCCCCCTCGTCGCGGCAACTCATCGAGACTCGGCCCTCCTCGCTAACCGCCCCAAAGAAAGCCCAAACAGGGCACAACCAAAGAGGGCACGAAGATCCTACCAGACGGCCCTACGACCGCCACAGACGCCAACGGAAAGCCCTGAAAATCTCCGACTGCCACTGATCGGACCTACGGTGGAGCCCTCAATCGCGCCTCAATATCTCCGATCTGTTTCCCACCCTCGACCCAACATAGCTTCCAATTAGCCCGTGGACGACCTTCTCAGACCGCCCTGGAGGGTATCGCAGCGCTCCAGACAGCAGATAGCCCAGGGACAAACCAAGATGGCCCAAAATCGTCTCAAGAGAGCTTGGGTCACAGGCCGGCCGGTCGGCAGGGGAACCCTTGTTTTTTCTGGCGAACCCCGGAATTCCCAAACAAGCGAAACCCGAAATCCAATTCTGGCGACCCCCGGAATTGGGAGCCCAAACCCAGAATCTTCAAAAAAACAAGCCCGGAATCCATTCCAGCCAAAACCTGGAATCCCCAGAGCACAGACACGGAACTCTACTCCCAGAACCGAAATTGCAAGAGAGCCACAAGGTCTCGACGAGGTTTGCGTGACACTCCACTCCGCTGGATCTCCCAGGAGCTGACGTGAGCGCCGACAATTGCGCAGTTCGCAGCCCCCCTGCATGGGGAGCCGCGAGATCTCTTCGGGGTGCGCTTAACACCCCAGGCTTCGAAAGTGGCGGCCCTTGCGTAATTCGCAGCGCCCCAAGAAGCCGCGAGATCTCAGCGGGTTATGAATGACAGCCCGCTCTGGTGGACCTCCAAGGAGCCCACGAAAATGACGGAAATGGCGCAACTCCCTTGTAACAGATCTTCAATCGTTATCCAATGGATGCCCTGACTTTCAGAACTTCCGCGTAGATCCGCAGTCCTGCGCTGGCCGATGGGCGTGCGGAGCGGCAACCTCATGGAGTAAACAGAAACTGCTCCGTTAGACGCGCAACGCGGCAACGCACGGGAAATACGACAAACCTGCTGCACTTCTCTACCCGTCACGTCGCAACGCCGAGGTACAGACAAAATACGATACCCGGCCTACTCGTCATGCGGCGTGGCCTGGAGGGGGGGAAATCTACTCGCCACCTCTGGCGACGCCTTGGGGGCGAAACAAAGTCCACTCTACTCCAGGAGGGGCAACGCCGCGGGGAAGAAACTATAACAACATTCCACTCGACTCGCCGTGTGGCAGCGCCTCGGGAGCTGGGCGGAGAAACTGCTCCACTCGATGCCCTGAGTTTGAAATCTTCCGCGAAGATACGCCGCACAGACACGCTCAAAGACCTCAATTCTAGGGCAGGCCTGCGCGGGCCGATGGGCGCGCGGGGCGGCGAGGCCACGGCGCGGAAAAGAAACGACTCCGCTCGACGCGCCACGGGGCAGCGCGCGGCGGGCGAAACGGAACGACCACTCTACTCTACTCGTCACGTGGCAACGCCTAGGCCGGACACAATAGGGATCCACTCCTGCTCGCCACGTGGCAAGGTCTGGGGACGGAAACGTAGCAGTTCACCCTGCTTGTCACGTGACAACCGCTCGAGGGCGAAAGCACAATCCACTCTGCTCCGGGCGTGGCGTGGAAGCGCCGCGGAGAGGAACAGGTGGCACTCCACTCGACTCGTCGCGTGCCAACG